AAAAAAAAAAAAAAATGAGTAGACTGAATAGATGAAGGCACTCCCAGTTCAGAACAAGACAAGTGGCTCTCAAAATTTGGTCTATGGACCAACAGCACCAACATCCCCAGGGAGTATGTTAGAAGTGCAGCTTTTCAGACCTACTGAATCATACACTCTAGAGGCGAAGCCAGGAATCTATTTTAACAATCCTCTGGGTGATGCTGATGCATACTGAAGTTTGAAAACCACTGCATTAGAATTGTAAATAGCATTATTTTTTTTTAATTCTACTTATTTTATTGTTATTGTTGTTGAGAATATACACAATAAAACATAAACCAATTCAAGTTTCTACATGTACCATTTAGTAACACTAATTACATTCTTTGAGCTGTGCAGCCATTCTCATCCTCCTTTTCTGAGTTGTCCCTCCCTCACTAACATAAATTCACTGCCCCAAAGGTTCCTATCTAATCTTTCGAGTTGCTATTATCAGTTTGATACCATACAGACAGTTCTTAAAAGAGTATAATGCTCAAGGCAGGCATTCTTTACTAGTTAAGCTTAACTACTGTTTGGCTTTAAGAAGACTTCAAGGGACAGTGTTGGTTTAAGGTTTAAAGACTATCTCAGGGCAATAGTTACAGGGGTTCATCTAACCTTCATGGCTCCAGGAAGTCTGGAGTCCATGAGAATTTGACATTTGGCTCTACATTTCCCCACTTCTGATCAGGATTCTTCTATGGAATCTTTGCTCAAAATGTCCAGTAATTGCAGCCAGGCCTCATCCAGTTCTTCTGGTCTCATGGCCAAGGAGGCAGCTGTTCACAGAGGCAATTAGCCATACATTCCTCCTGACACACACTCCTGACTCTCTCCTTCCTCTGTTGTTCCTGGTGAAGAGACACCAGTTGTGCCTTGGATGGCTGCTTCCAAGCTTTTAAGACTGCAAGCACTATGCAATGAACTAGGAGGTAGAACAGAAGCACTAAACATGTTATTAGGCCAATTAACTGGGATGTCCCAAGAAACTATGATCCTAACTTCCAAACCAAGGAACCAAATCCCAGGATGTTTTTGATTGTACATTAGTAGCCCCAGCAGCTACTTTGTCTGTGTGTGTGTGATGTATATCTAGCAGACTGTTTTTACCAATTCAATTTTTTACAGGTATACTATTCATTTATAGCAATTATAACTGGCTGTGCAACCCTCCCCTTAATCAATGCAATATTTCACTCACCACTAGCCCTCACTTTTCTTCTCCCTCCTTCCCTTGGTAACCACTAATAAACTTTGTTCTCCATACATTTGTCTTTTCTTGTCTTTTTATGTAAATGAGGTTATACAGTATTTGTCCTCTTGTGATTGTCTTAGTTCACTCTATATGTCTTCCAGCACTGCTCATATTCTAAACAGCATTATAATAGAAGCAGTTATTATTTTGTATCAACCTCTACTTACTGAGTGCTACTCTAAGTATTATGCAGATATTGTATTATTTCGTTCTCTTGACAGCCCTATGGAGTAGATACTGTTAACTTCATTTTACAGATAAGGAAACTAGGGCCAAATGAGGTTATTAACTTAGCCTACTAATAATCCTCAAGGCCAGAAATGGAATTCAGATCTGGATGACTGCCAAGGTGGTACTCTTTCCAGGATGCCATACAGCCACAAAAAAGATCATGTCATTCAGAACAATTATACTCAAATAATAGACCAATCCAAATCAATTCCCATAGGACAGGAGTGCATGGGCAGGAAGGACACAGGAAAGAAGGTGGGAAGACAGCTGTTATGTTGTGGGTAATTGCAGTCAATGTCATGAAACAAAATGTGTATGAAATGCTGTACGGAAAATGAATTTGCTCTGTAACAATTAAAAAAAAAAATCAATCCCCATAAAAAGCTTTATGATCCTAACCCCAGGTCTTACAGGATTGAGCTTGGTTTTCTCTCCCAGTCCTTCTTCTTCTGGTAACTTTGAATGCATCCAATAGAATCGGAAATCAGTCTGCCACAGGGAAAGGAGGGAGAAAGATGAAATACAGCTCATCTCAAACTCAAATGGGATAAAAAGCTATCCCATTCTAAATAGCCTCTGGATTTACAAAGACCTAAGCCCTTATGTTGTTACTCTCATTTCCCTTTAAAAAAAAAATCATAAGGTCAGGAAAACATTCATAAAATCTTTGAAGGTGTTTTTCTTAAAATACAGTTGGATTGTTGATAGTAGTAAAGCCAGTTTTTATCACTGAAGGCCTACTATGTGTCAGACTCCATGTTAGGGGCTTTACATGCATAATATTAATCCTCACAACTACCCTCTGAGGGTTGCACAATCATCACCCTCGTTTTATAAATGAGGACTCTGAGGTTAAGAGAGGTTAAGTCACTTGCCCAAGGGCACATACAAAGTACTGTGGGACCCAAGACTCTCCAACTCCAAAGCTTATTATGTTAACTTTCATTTTATTTTAATCCTGAGGATTAGAGATTACTATATGGTTATAAGGAGCTCTGGTAGCATAGTGCCTAAGGCACTTGACTGCTCACCAGAAGGCTGGCGGTTCAAACCCACCAGCCACTCCTCGGAAGGAAGGCTGGGCAATCCTACTTCTGTAGTGATACTGCCTCGGAAACCCAAGGAGGGGTCGCTATGAGTCAGGGCCGACTCGATGGCAAACAACAACAACAACAAATATGGTTATAACTTCTCATAAACTTTATTTTCTGAATTTTTAATATGTACCTTTTCTGTAGTTATTTTAGGGTTTTTCTTTCTTTTAAATTATTTTACTTTATGAAATATTTTACACATACAGTATTCAAAATATAAAAATATAGGTAGCTTTAATAGCAAATTCATTTAAAGTTAAAGTATTCTTCAACAGGACTAGAAGAAAATAAGATTGAGCAGTTCAAGACTGAATTTATGAGTTCTGGGTTTTTAAGCTTGGCTCTGAATATAGGCAATACTTAACATCTGTGGCTCTCAGCTACCATATATATCTATAAGAAAATAGTACCAGTACTCACTTACCTTATAGAGTTGCTGTAAGGGATGCAATTAGATAATAATCACAAAGTGTTTACTATTTGCAATGCAAATCATGGCTGTTATTATTTGAATGAACCACATCTGAGAATTGTGAGTAGCACCATCACCACCATCACATGATTTGGAAACCCAGCTTGGGGTAAAAGCTATGTAAAGAAACTGCCTAGTTCCACCTCCTACTTTGGCCAGTAGCAACTGGGATCTTAAAAGCTAGCAAGCTGCCATCTACATGGAACGATGGGTCTCTCCTCGTCCAGAGCAAATAAGAATGAAGAAAACCAAAATTCATGGAAACAATTAGTCCTAGCAACTGGTACACTATCCAATCTGCAGCCTATATGACTATGAGACCAGAAGAACTAGATGGTGCCCGGATACCACTGTCATCCACTTGGAAGGGGATCTATGTAGAAGATCCTTTATAGAGAGGGAGAACAATGTGGAACAAAACTCAAAATCATTTGGAGAAAAAAAAAAGGGGGGGGGGGACCAGGTTTGCTGGTCCGATAGAGCCTGGTGGAACCACTGAGACTATGGCCCCTAGCTGCCCTTCAGATCTGGAATTGAACCCACTCATATGAGTTGAACATTTACCTCAAGTAGACACACGCCCTAGAGAGAACAATCATGAGAGAAAGAAGGGCTGCTTATGCACAGGGAGATAGCTCAGGGGGCAGGAGTGCATGGAGGGATGGACACAGGGAAGAGGTAACTATGGGGAGGAAGTGGGAGGGGAGCTGTTGCACTGTGGTAAATTGTGGTCAATGTCATGAGACAAAGTATATGTGAACTGCTGTATGGAAAGTAAATTTGCTCTGTAAACCTTCACCCAAATCACAATAAAAATAAAATAAAAAAGAAACTGCCTAGGATGACAACCCATGATTCTCACACTTGAGCCTGAATCAGAATCACCTGGAGACTTGTTAAAACATAACCTCCAGCCCCACAGTTTCTGATTCAGTAGGTCTGATAATTTGTATTTCTAATAACTTTCTGAAACTCCTGGTCTAGGGACTACACGTTAAGAATCACCGTGATAACAGGCATACGAGCTGAACATTTACATTAGGTAGATACTTTCCTTAGAGAGAACAAACGTGGGAGATTAGAAAGGCTGTGTATGCACAGGAAGACAGCTCAGGGGTTAGGAGTGACTGGAGGCAAGGACACAGGAAAGAGGTAACTATGGGGAGGAAGTAGAGGGGAGCTGTTGCATTGTGGGAAACTTGAGTCAATGTCATGAGACAGAGTGTATGTGAAATGCATTATGGAAAGTGTATTTGCTCTGTAAACTTTCACCTAAATCACAATTTAAAATAAATAAATAAAATAAACTATCACAAATACAAAAACAAAAAAGGACTCACTGTGCTAAACCAATTGATAAAGAGCAAAAAAAAAAAAAAAACCAAAACTCACTGCCATCAAGTCAATTCTGACTCATAGTGACCCCCACTGGGTTTCCAAGGTGGTAAATCTTTACAAAAGTAGATTGCCCCATCTTCCTAACGCTTAGTGGCTGGTGGGTTTGAACCGCCAACCTTCTGGTTAGCAATCAAATGCCTTAGGCACTGTGCTACCAGAACTCCTTGATAGAGAGCAAAATACAAAAAACCACCACTATGAAATGAGACCGAGACTGTGACACTGGAAGTGCTGCTAACAGAGGCTGGAGGCCTGCAAGGCTGACTCAGTCTCACCCTGATGACTACTGCTATCTCCTGTAAGAATCACCTATGTGAGAAAAACTTTGGGAGAAGGTGAAACTTGCCGGTAGAATATTAGGACCTTTCCTCACTTGGAAAGTCTCCTTCCAGTACTGACCCCTCAAAGATTCAAGGTTTTGTGTCCTACTCAGGAGGCCCTGCCACTTTCAGGGTCAGGATGTGGTTGGTGAAGGAGTGGAGGGTGAAGAAGTCTATCTGATGGTGCCTTGCATTCCACACCTTCTCTTCCTTGTGCCCACCCACACAAGGTGGTATCCCCCTCCTAACCCTGCCATCCTCCCCTGCCAACAATCCTCCCACATCAATAGTAGTAGGTGAGGGCAGTTGTAGCTGGTATAAAGCCCGAGCCTACCCCTCTGTTCTGCTTCTCTCTTTCCTCCTTTCAAAATTGCTATATTTCCCTTAGTCTTTTCTATCTCTCTGTTTTGTTTTTTTTTTAAGCTAATTTAAACTCACTCAAAGACTAAGATGCAAGGAGAATTAGATAATGTTCTTGATATACCACATCCTGTATACACCACGAAGTTGGTCACGTACTAAACCCACACACTGAGCCACTTTCCCAAAGGAGAGAAGATAGGAAAAGACAAGAGTGGGAGTACCAATCCTTACCTGGCAGTCATAAAAAGGGTGTCCTCGCCAGCACATCACATCTAGAACGTAGTAGGTCTGGTTTACCTCGCTGTAAATGCAGTCCAGAATGGTGTAGTCTGGGGACACAAAGCAGAAAGTCAGTACAGGATCCCCTCCCAATCAGTTCCTCTGTCTTGATCCAGGGAGCCCCACTGCAACAATCCTCAGTGCTTGCAGTAATCCCCAGCACTCAGGTCCCCAATGGGGTAAGGAGTAAGGACTCGTTAGGGTCAGAGTTCTTCTTCATGACCCTTTCTGGCTACCTGGTACAGCTTAAGGGTGACCTGAAGTAGGACAGCACAAGAGGGATCAAGGCATTCCTGAAGCCTTCAGTGGGAATTCTAAACTCTTAGAATTCAATTCACTCACTTTAGAGCTCAAGTTTGAAAGCAAGTCATCTTTCATTTTCATTTACAATAACTACTTCTGAGTTCCTATCATGTTGTTGTTGTTATTGTTGTTTGCCATCAAGTCAGCCCTGACTCATAGCGACCCCTCCTTGGGTTTCCGAGGCAGTATCACTACGAAAGTAGGACTGCCCAACCCTCCTTCCGAGGAGTGGCTGGTGGGTTTGAACCGCCAGCCTTCTGGTTAGCAGTCAAGTGCCTTAGGCACTATGCTACCAGAGCTCCAGTTCCTATCATAGGCACTGTATTATCATGTGGGGAATATTAACTGTAAATAGTCCTTGCCTTTAAAGTAGTGATAATCTAGTGATAAAATGATCACAGAGGAAAGAGCCAAGGGCTGAATCGTACAGCACAAACTAAGAGGAACGGAAGTTCCAGAAAGAGAAGACTGACGAAGTAGAAAATGTTTCATGGAAGAGATGTCATCACCCAAACACAGAAGAGATAGGATATGAACAGTGTCTTCTAAGAACACCAGGATTTAAAGAACATTTTAGGTGAGAAAACTGAAACGGCATGAGCAAAGGCCCAGATGTAGACTGTGGGGGGCAAACAGAGATGGGAGGGGGGTATGGAGAGCAAGAGAAAGAAGTGAGGAGGGGTGGGCCAAAGGCCACCTGTGAAGGGCTCTAAAAACCCAGAGATCAGTCTGGGCACAGTACAGGGGTCACAAGGAACCACTAAGGGTGCCTGAGCAGGAATGAAAGAGACCAGGTTCAGGCCCAGCTCTGCCACTTCCATGCCCAGTGACCATGGGCAAGTTATTTAAACTCCATGACCTTAATTTTCTCAGCTAGGTTCAGGTGGGCAGGAGAAACTAAGGTGAGGACAATGATCAAAGAAAAAAAAAAAAAAAGGAATTTGCCAGGGATCCTGTACCACTACACCTGGCATTCTCTGAGGGGACTTTCCCCATGGAACTGCATCTGTCACCTCACACAGGTGCACAGGAAAGGAATGTGACCTTAATTCAAGAATTTATTGCCCAGCATCCTCATGAGGCCATGTCTTTCTACAACAAAGGAGGCCTTGTCTTTGAAAAGGAGAGCCAGAGGCTGGTGGCCAGGGCAGTGTCTAAGGTGTGTCGTTACAAAAGTGTACTTTCAAAGTGGGTCTTTAAAATGACTTACCACACAACTTACACTGTCTCTCACGATTACAAAACTTAATAAGTAGACATTTTGAGCAGGTACCTTTTGCTGTTGTTGAGTTTCGCCTGTTGCCTCCTGGCAGAAGGGAAGAAAACCTGTTGACACAATAGCCACTCTTGGTGTAGGCACTGGTGGAACCCTGTGTGGAGAGAAAGCAACCATTCTCATTAGGCATGTAGGTCTCCTCACCCTCCTGCTCTCTCATTCTGCAGGATGTCATCACCCAAACATGGCTCTCAACAAATCTCTTCTATAAGAAAGAGTTTCATCCCCATCCAGGCATAGCTGGCTGTAGTAATAGGAATATGGAGTACAAAAAACCCCCCCCATGACTCCAGACCATGCACAGAACCAAGGCACAGCCTGGGCAAGAGCAGTACACAGATCAGGCGTGGTGGGCTGGGCGCAGGGGCAACTACTCACCCTGGAGGCCACGATTAGGGCTCTTTTTCCAACAGGGCACACAACCATAATCCATTCCTGTCCCAAATCTGAAGGGACATCGATTAACCACTCAGACAGCATCAACTGGGAAAACAAAAAATGGTGTTAGAAGTTCAGCAAGGTTCAGCCAAACAACAGACAGGCCTATAAGGTAAACAATAACACCAGGGAGGTACATGCTCTTTAGAACAACCAATCATACAAGATCAAAAGGACGGCATTTGTCCAGGGATAAAGCTCAGAAGGCAGGAAGGGATAGGAAAGGACAAAGGAAGACAGTAAACACAGGGAGGAAGTGGGAAGAATGCTGTTACACTGTAGGAATTGTAATCAACGTCATGAATCAAAATGTGTATGAATTGTTAAATGGAAAACCAATTCACTCTGTAAACTTTCACCCAAATCACAATAAAAAGTTAAAAGGAAAAAGATCAGCAGTATTACTTAAATGTTTACAATGATGAAGCACTGACGTCCTGAACATGTGCTAACAATTCACATAGAAGAATAAGAAAAGAAAGGGCTGATAGTGAGACCTTCATCCTATTTGCTCAGTAGTTGAGTTTGTTTCCTGCTCTGAGAATAGAGGTCACTCACTGTGAACTTCAGCTTCTCCCCTCACCTTCATGACCTGCATATCCACACCCATCCTTACTAGCTCACTTTCTGTATTGGGCTGATAGAACCCGTTCCTTTCCTTCCTTCATCTATCCAGCTACCAATATATCATAACTATTATGTTCCAGGGATTACAATTCAAAGATGAATAAGGTCCCTGGCCTTGAGATCCTCTTAGACTAGATCATCATTTCGCAAACTGGCATCCCAAATACTGTATCACAGTATGTGAGGAAATTCACCTTTTTAAAAAAAGTGCTGTAGTGAAATAAATCTGGGAAGATTTAACTCTTCCACTTATCATCCCTCCCCTTTAGACAAAGACTCTGTCCCATCAATTAATCCCTCCCACTGAATCTTTCATCTCCCCTTCTCCACACAGTCCTTCCTCTTAATCTACAAATACTCAGCCTCAAACCTTAAAAAAAAAAAAAAAAAAACCTTTGTCAATCAATCGCAACTGGCATAACGTACTACACAAAAACACTGTCCTACATCCTACTTTGGTGAGTGGTGACTGGGGCCTTAAAAGCTTGCAAGCAGCCATCTAAGATGCAACAATTGGTCTCTCCTCATATGGAACAAAGGAAAATAAAGAGAATCAAAGATGCACAGAAACAATTAGTCCAAAGGACTAGTGGACCATGCAAACCTCAGCCTACATGACCCTGAGACCAGAAGAACTAGATGGTCCCTGGCTACCATTGTCAACCACTTGGAATGGGATCAGAATAGGAGATCCTGGATAGAGTGCAAGAAAAATGTGGAAAAAACTCAAAATCATAAAACAAAACAAAACAAAAAAAAAACACAGCCTTACTGGTTTAATAGACTGATGAAACTCCCAAGACTATGGACCCTAGTCACTCTTTGAGTCTGGAACTGAACTAACTCTCAGGGCTTTCAATTAAACAATAGACAGGCATACAAGGTAAACAATCACACCAGGAGGTAAACTCCTTAGAACAATAAACCGTGGGAGATCAGAATGGCATCATTTGCACAGGGAGATAGCTCAGAGGACAGGAATGCATAGGAAAGGACAACACAGGGAAAAGATAACCAAGGGCAAGAAGTAGGAAGAGAGCTGTTATATCATGGGGATTGCAATCAATGTCATGAAACAAAATGTGTCTGAATTGTTGAATGGAAAAAAATTTGCTCTGTAAACTTTCACCCAAATCACAATGAAATAAAGAAATAAATAACCTCTGTCACTCTGCATTTCTCCATTTTGAAAAAAAATACTTAGTATTTCTTGATGCTTCTTTCCCACCCACTGACATCCTCAGTCCAGATTTGTTATCCCACTGCCTTAAGAAAGGCCACATCTCTCTCCTCTCTCTTCCTCCTCCCCACTCCACTCCTGACCACATGTGATGCTGCCAATCATACCTTCTGCTTTGACACATGTTCCCCTGGCCCCCAGACACAGTGCTATTCTGTTTTTTCTCCAAACATTTCTCCACACACTCTCAAAAAACATGTAGAGGAACTTCAGGTAACGCCTTAGGGTAAATCTCATCTATTGCTATACAACTTCACTAGTCACTCCTATGAGGATGCCTCCCAATCTTCCTCCTCCTCCAAACTTCTTTCCTTTTCTCCAGACCTTTATTTCAACTCTTTACTTGGCATCTGTTTCTTCTGCTTCTCATCTCTGCATCTTAAACTCAGCATGTCCAAAACAGATTTCACTGCCTTTTGTTGCCCAAGTACTTCCCATCCCTGAAAACTCACCCTTCCTTTTCCTCATTTTGTAACTGTCAATGGCATCATCATTCTGTTACTAAATCTTAAAAACTTTGAAAAAGAGTTGGCATAACCAACCCTCCCCTAAAAAACAGTAGACATATAACAGCAAAACCACAAGCAACAAAATAAAAAATAGATAAATTGGACTGCATCAGAATTTAAAACTTTTGTGCTGCAAACGATACCATCATAAAGCTAAAAGACAACCCACAGAATGGGAGAAAATATTTATAAAGCATGTATCTGATAAAAGGCTTGTAGCTAGAATGTAGAATTCTAACAACTCAATAATAAAAAGACAACCCAATTTAAAGATGGGCAAGAGATTTGAATAGACATTTCTCATAAAACACAAATGGTCAATAAGTGCACGAAAAGATGTTCAACATTATTAGTCATGTAAATCAAAACCATAATGAATTACAATGGCTATAATAAAAAAAAGACAATGTAAATGTTGGCAAGAATGTAAAGAAATTGGAACCATATATATAGCTCTAGAGAAAGTAAAATGGTGCAGCCACATTGCAAAAGATTCTGGCAGTTCCTCAAAAGATTAAATATAGTGTTACCATACAACCCAGCAATTCCACCTGAGATATACTCAAAAGAAATGAAAATACACATCCACACAAAAACTTATATAAGAATGTTTTTATTAGCATTATTCATAATAGCCAAAGAGTAGAAACAACCCCAAAGTCCATCAACTGGTGAAAATATAAGCAAAATATGGATATCCATACAATGGAATGTTACTCGGTAATAAAAAGGAATGACATACTGATAAATGCTACATTATGGATGAATCTAGAAAACATTATGCTAACTAAAAGAAGAGACAAAAAAACACATATTGTATGATTTCATTTTTTATGAAATGTACAGATTACGTCAATCCAGACAGACAGTAGATTAGCTGTTGCCAGGGACTAAGTGGAAGAAGGAATGGGGAATGAGTGCTAATGGACATGGGGTTTCTTTTTAGGGTGATGAAATGTTCTGGAATTAGGTAGTGGTAAATGGTTACACATAGAGCTCTGGTAGCATAGTGCCTAAGGCATTTGACTGCTAACCAGAAGGCTGGCGGTTCAAAGCTACCAGCCAGTCCTCAGAAGGAAGGCTGGGCAATCTACTTTCATAGTGATATTGCCTCGGAAACCCAAGGAGAGGTCGCTTTGAGTCCTGTCTGACTCGAGGGCACATAACAACAACAACAATGGTTGCACAGCTCTGGAAATACATCAAAAAATACTACATGGTATACTATAAGTGGGTAAATTGTATGGCATATGAATTATATCACAATATAGCTGTGTTTGTTTGTTTAAAAAAAAATAGTAGCAGCTAATGTTTGTGGGCCATTTATTATGGGCTCCAGGCTAAGGAGCCATGGTGGTGTAGTGGTCAAGGCATTTGGCTGTTAACCAAAAGGTTGGTGGTCTGAAATCACCAGCCACTCCATGGAAAAAAAGATGAAGCAGTTTGCTTCTGTAAAAATTTATAGCCTTGGAAATCCAATGAGAGTCGCTATGAGTCGGAATCAACTCGATGGCAATGAGTTTGGTTTTGGTTATTATGGTTCCAGGCTAGGAATTTCAGGTACACTATCTTAATTTTTCAATGGTACAGTTGTTGTTAGATGTCGTCAAGTCAGTTCTGACTAATAGCGACCACTATGCAGGACATAATCAAACACTGCCCGGTCCTGCACCATCCTCATTATCCTTGCTATGCTTGAGCCCATCGTTGCAGCCACAGTGTCAATCCATCTCCTTGAGGGCATCTTCTTTTTCCCCAAACCTCTACTTTATGAAGCATGACATCCTTCTCCAGGGACTGGTCCCTCCCAATAACATATCCGAAGTATGTGAGATAAAGACTCCCCATCTTGGCTTCTAAAGAATATTCTCACTGCACTTCTTCCAAGATAGACAAAACAAATCTGATAGATTTGTTCATTCTTCTAGCAGTCCTGGTGTATTCAGTAATCTTCACCAACACTCTAATTCAAATGCATCAATTCTTCTTCTGTCTTCCTTATTCATTGTCCAGCTTTTGCATGCATATAAGGCAATTTAAAATACCAGTGGTTTGGGTTAGGCACGCCATAGTCCTCAAAGTGGCATCACTGCTGTTGAACACTTCAAAGAGATCTTTTGCAGCATATTTGCCCAATGTAATATCAAAACCAAAACCCACTGCCACTGAGTTGATTCCAACTCATAGCAACCCTATAGGGCAGAGTAGAGCTGCCCTATAGGGTTTCCAAGGCTGTAAATCTTTATGGAAATAGACTTCGTCATTTTTATCCGTGGGGCAGCTGGTGGATGCAAGCCACTGATCTTTTGGTTGGCAGCTGAATGTCGATTGATTTCATGATGGCTGCTTTCATATGCACTGATTGTGAATCCAAGTAAATAAAATCCTTGACAATTTCAGTATTTTCTGTTTATCATGATGTTGCTTAGTCCAGTTGGGAAGATTTCTGTTTTCTTTATGTTGAGATGTAATCCATACTGAAGGCTATAGTCCTTGATCTTCAGCAATATTACGTCAAGTCATCTTCACTTCCAGCAAGCAAAGTCATGTCATTTGCATATTGCAGTTGTTGGAGTCTTCCTTCAATCATGATGCAGCATTCTTCTTCATAGAGTCCAGCTTCTCAGATCATTTGCTCAGCACACAGACTGAATAACTATGGTAAAAGGATACAACCTTGATGCACACCTTTCCTGATTTTAAACCCCTTGTTCTATTCAAATGACTGCCTCTTAGTCTAATGTACAGGTTCCACTTGAACAAATTAAGTGTTCTGGAATTCCCAGTCTTCAAAATGTTAGTCATAATTTTTTATGTTCCACACTCAAATGCTTTTACATAGTCAATAAAACACAGGTATGTTATGATGTGGTATGTTATGATCCACACAGTCAAAAGACTTTGTTTACACAGGTAAACATCTTTCTGGTATTCTCTGCTTTCAGTCAAGATCCATCAGCAATGGTATCACTCATTCCATTTCCTCTTCTGAATCTGGCTTGAATTTCTGGTAGCTCCCTGTTGACATACTGCTGCAACTGTTTTGGAATTATCTTCAGTGAAATTTTACTTGCATGTGATATTAATGATATTATTCAATAATTCCCACATTCTGTTGGATCAAATGGACACAAATATGGATTCTTCCAGTCAGTTTGGCCAGGTAGCTGTGTTCTAAATTTCTTGGCAAAGACGAGTGAGCACTTCCAGCATTGCATCCATTTGCTGAAACATCTCAACTGGTATTCCATCAAATCCTGGAGGCTTGTTTCTTGCAAATGTCCTCAGCATAGCTTGGACTTCTTCCTTCAGTACCATCAGTTCTTGATTATATGCTCCCTCCTGAAATGACTGAATATCCACCAACGCTTTTTGGTACAGTGACTGTGTATTCCTCCCATAATTTTTTGATCCTTCCTCCATCATTCAATATTTTGCCCATAGAATCCTTCAATATTGCAACTCGAGGCCTACATATTTTTCTTCAGTTCCTTCAGCTTAAGAAATGCCACGTGTGCTCTTCCCTTTTGGTTTTCTAACTCCTGCTCTTTGCACATTTCATTATACTACTTTCTGTTCTTGAGCCACCCTTTTAAATTTTCTGTTCAGCTTTTTTATTTCATAATTTCTTCCATTCACTTTAGCAACTCTACATTCAAGAGCAAGTTTCAGAATATCTTCTGGCATCCATTTTGGTCTTTTTTTGCTTGACTTTTTAATGGCCTTTTGCTTTCTTCATGTATAATGTCTTTGATGTCATCACACATCTCAGCTGGTCTTCAGTCATTAGTGTTCAATGCATCAAATCTATTCTTCAGATGGTCTCTAAATTCAGGTGGTACATACTTAAGGGTGTATTTTGGCTCTCGTGGACTTGTTTTAATTTTCTTCAGCATCAACTTGACCTTGCATATGAGCAATTGATGGTCTATTCTGACAGATGGTAAGTTTCTCCATAGTCTCTTTCCACAGATGTAGTTGATATGGTTTCTATGTATTCCATCTGGTAAAGTCCACATGTGTATCTCTGTTTATGTTGTTGAAAAAAGGTAAAAGGTATTTGCCATGTGTAAGTCATTGATCTTACAAAATTCTATCATGCGCTCTCTGGCATCACTTCTGTCACCAAGGCTGTATTCCAGCTATCTATCTTTCTTCTTTGCTTCCAACTTTCACATTTCAGTCACCAGCAATTATCAATACTTCTTGATTGCATGTTTTATCAATCTCAAATTGCATAAGTTGGTAAAAAAAAATCTTCAATTTCTTCATCGTCTGCATTACTGGTTGGTGTATGGGTGACTCTGCTGGTATTTGAAATACCAGTGGCGTAGCTTCCAGCATCACAGCATCATTCAAGCCCCAACAGTATTACAAACTGGTAGACGAGTGGTGGTGAATGGTGTAGACACATGTACTATTAAAAAATGTGAACAACAGTTATATTAATTGGTCTTCCTTGTAGATGTATGGATATTATCTTATCTCTGACAGCATTGTACTTCATGGCAGATCTTGAAATACTCTTTTTGATGATGAATGTGATGCCATTCCTCTTCAATTTGTTATTCCTGGCCTTGTAGACCATATGACTGCCCAACTCAAAATGCCCAACAGCAGTCCGTTTCAGCTCACCAATGACTAGGATATTGATCTTTATGTATTCCATTTAATTTTTGATGACTTAAACAATTTTCCTAGATTCATATGTCATACATTCCACATTCTGATTATTAATGGATGTTTGCAGCTGTTTCTTCTCATTTTGAGTAATGCCGCATCACTAAATGAAAGTCCTGAAATCTTTACTGCATTCATACCATTAAGGTCAACTCTACTTTGAGGAGGCAGCTCTTATTTTGAGTATCTGTGAATACTCTCCTATTTTGAGTACCTTCAAACCTGAGGGGTTTATATTCCTGTGGTGTATCAGCAGTGTTCTGCTGCTATCCATAAAGTTTTCACTGGCCAATTTTTTCAGAGGTAGATCGCCAGATCCTCCTTCTTACTCTTAGTCCGGAAGTTCCGCTGAAACCTGTCCACCATGGGTGACCCTGCTAGTATTTGAAATACTGGTAGCATAGCTTCCAGCATGACAGTAACATGCACACCACAAAAGTATGATTGACAGACAAGTAATGATGAATAGTATAGAGATATTTACTATTAAAAAAAAAACTATCATCAAGTCAATTCTGACTCATAGCAACTCTTTAGGACAGAGTAGAAATGCCCCCATCAAGTTTCCAAGGCTGTAAATCTTTATTGACAAAGATTGCTTCATCTTTCTCCCACGGAGTGGCTGGTGAGTTCAAACTACTGACTTTTTGGTTAGCAGCCGAATGCTTTAACCTCTACACCACCAGAGCGCCTTCAAGAACTATATGGTAAGTACTATTACCATTCCCCATTTTATACATGAGAAAACAGAGACTTAGAGGAGTTACGCAACTTGCTCACAGTCAATATAGAGCCTGGCTTTGAGATCAAGGTCTATGTGACCTCAGAGTTTATAACTTCTCATACTGCCTCACCTCTCCAATCCATTGCTAAATTATGTCCATTCTATCTGGCAATATTTTTCATATTCATGACCTCTTTTCTTTCCTACCTTCAATGCCTTTGGCACCTCTCATCAGATTGGGATTTAGCAAACCCCTAAATAACCTTTCTCTCTCCCCCATCAGCAGTTTCTTTATCCTTTAGCCCCTTCTGCACACTGTTGTGAGAGTCAACATGTAAGTCACACTCTGTTCCTGGCTCAAAATGTCTCAGTGGTTCCCCACAATCCGAAAGAGTCTAAAGCCCTGAACACGCTTTTGAGGTCCTTCACCTCTTTTCCCCTAACTCTATGCTGCTCCATCCTTGCTGGCCTGAACACCATTCCTGAGCACATCATATACTCCTGTCCCACCTCTGGGCTCCTTCTCAGCCTCTTCCTGCTGCCTGGATTGCTCCTGCTTGGCATCTCTGCCTGCCAATCTCTTCCCCACCCTTCAAAGTTGTCTCTTCCTTCATAAACCATTCCCTGATTCCACATTCCTGCCTACTTCTTGATCAGAAGGAATCTCACTTCCTTATAGCACAAATCATAGTTTACACTTACTCCAGGAGTATAAGGCTATTTCTTGTCCATGTATATCGTCCCTATAGCATAGCCTAATTTAGCACAGAACAAACCCTTGAACAATGCTTGCTGAACAGAACTGAACTACGCTTTGTCAGATAGACTGTTATTTATTTGTGCTGTATTTGGGGCAGAGAAAGGGAATGGGAATGTGTATACCCAGAGACCATATTCTAAAGGTGAAAGAGTATTCTGAGATGACAAGACACTTAGGTTGAAGAAAGAAATATGTAATAGCAGAACAGTTCCCTGCCTCCATTCCAACCCACACTCTGTCTTCTGGCCTGGACTGACTGGAGCCCAAGACAACCTCCACATCTGCTTGCCCTATGGCACAAGCTACATTGGTTTCCTTTCGGACTCAACAAAGTGTTCAGTCAAGTTTGTCACATTGATCTGCTGTTTCATGGTCTCAAGCTCACCTTTGCTTGGGCGGCTGGCTAGGCTCTCCTTATTCAGGGGAAGCTGTACATCCTATCTTCTACTACCTGAGTGTGAAGATCCAGGACTGACATCTTAGTACACCAGTTGGTAAAGACCATCAACTTGTGGGTGCTGGGCTGGGCAGGCTCAATCAAAAACACCTGAGCACTACTACTAGAGCAATGAAAAGCATGTGGAGGCTGATATTTTGCTGATAGCTTGGGCTTTAGTAGGGTGTTGGCAGCCTTTGGTAATAGCCTGGGATAAAGGTTCCTAAGCCCACTACCCAGAGACTCCACTGGTGTCCACAAGTCAGTATGCAACACTATAAGCCATCTCTTCTTACCATCCCATAACTTCATAGACAGCAGCATTTTCTCTGCAGTTCCTATTCCTTTTCCCTGCCTCATCCTCCTTATGAGGCCACATCCTCTTTTTCTGTCCACATGTACTTCAGTGGGCTCTAACTACATAGCAAAAGGAGTGGGACTAGCTGAGCCTAATCTTCTCAGGACCACTCACTTGATTAGCATAGCGTTTTGGTAATTTCTTGCTAGTGTCAATGTCCATTTCTTCATCATCTTTCTTCTCTTCATCCTCCTCACTCTCCATCCCTGTCCAGTCATCTTCAGCCAGTCTTCTGGCATGGTTCACATAATCTAGTCGCTTGCTAGAGAAAGAAAAGGCATAAAGATTTGTCTTTACATCTTGTAGGAGGACACTCTGCAATGCAACAGACTTAATTTTAAAGGCTCCAAATGTGAGAGCAACTTGGGAATTCTGGTGGGAGTAAGCGTTTCCTTTGGAAGGCTAAACTAGTGACCACCTCCTCACAGATCCTAAATAGAGAACCCCCATCTGCACACACTCAGCCTTCCTCTGAGTTTCCTAAGAATGAAAAAAGTAACATATTTAGAAGAATCTTCAAGGTTCACTAGCTGAGAAAGCTGACCTTCCCTCCCACCTCCCATCCCCAACTACGAGCTACATCTAGAGCTGACACTTCCCCTGCCTGGCAGATACCAAAGGCCCTGGGGATGGCAGAGAGGAAATGCTGAGATGCAGTGAGAAATCTGAAACACGGATAGCTTCTGGAGCTTTCTGCTTCATAACTTTCAAAAAAGGCCACTTAAGTTTATGATTTAATATCTTTAACTTATTTGTTTCCCTTTATCATTATGCTGCTGCTTCTTTTTGCTTGATTTTTTAACTACATATTCTACAAAGTTTGGGAAATTGAAAAAGAAGAAAAATTTAATTTTCATTTTATACCTTTTGGAACCTGGCAAGAGTGCAGCCACATGAGTCAGTGACACCAGGACAGTTGGTTTCTTCTCAAACAAAGACACACACATATATTATGCACAGTAGTCACATGAAGATACACACCAGAGAGAGTATATGTAAGCATTATGGTCTTTTATTTCAAGAATGAGAGAATTAGTGTCCTTATATACGTGTGAAAGGATGCAGATCCATGGTTATTTCCCAAGTACCATTTGCAATCATAAGAGAGTAGAACTACCCAGATGCCCCTCAGAAGGAGACTGGTTCGATTACACTCCATCGACAGAATACATACCTAGGGACCATAAAAAAGGAATAAAGTAGCACTTATGAACATATATGGAAGCCCTCTATGGTAGTTGTGTATCAACTTGGCTGGGCCTGGTTTAGAATGGCTAGACAGCTGGATATAGTTAATCCCCATGATGAGGCTGGTAATCAACTCCCTGGTGGAATCTACTGGAGCAGCCTTAGGGATGTGGTCTGCTTTCAGTATATAAACAGCAGCTTTGAGAAAGGTTTCTGCAGCTTCTTGGCACACTTGGACCCTGTATGTAGCTTAGTCTTCATTCAGCAGCCTGCCATATTTCCTGCTGATCTTGGAACTGTCTCTAGACTTGAACTAGGGGCCCGCCATACTGTTTGGTAATCTTGGGACTGTGCCATTTTATTTGTCGACCTCAGCAGCCAGCAGCTGCCTGAGTGACCAGACACCACCAGGTCCAGTGGGCTGGGAGCAACAGGCAGCGCTGAAGCCTAAGTTCAAGGGGCCTTCACCCAGCCCCTAGAGCTTGGCACTCTGAACTCGGACTTCTAGCCTCCTAAACTGTAAGATGATAAATCCCTGTTTGTTAAAGCCACCCATTTGTGGTATTTCTGTTAGAGAGTGACACTAAGTAACCAAAACACCCTCCAAGAAACACTGTTAAATAAATGTGCAGAACAGTGTATAGTAAGCTGTTTAATGACTACTTATATCATAAAAAAAAAAAAAAAAAACACAGTTTGGGACCATGGTCACAGGAGACATCAAGCTCAATTGGTATAATGTTCTACATACAAACACCGTTCTACATCCCACTTTAGTGAGTAGTGACTGGGGTCTTAAAAGCTTGCAAGTGGCCATCTAGATGCAACAACGGGTCTCTCCCTGTCTAAAGCAAAGAAGGATGAAGAAAACCAAAGATGTGTGGAAACTATTAGTCCAAGGGACTAGTGGATAATGGGAACCTCAGCCTATATGAGAATGAGACCAGAAGAACTAGATGGTGCCTGGCTACCACTTTCAACCACTCACAAAGGGATCAGTGCAGGAGATCCTGGATAGAGTGGGAGAATAATGTGGGACAAAACTCAAAATCATTAAAAAAAAAACAGGTTTACTGGTCTGATAGAGCCTGGTGAGATACCCACAAGACTATGGCCCCTAGTTATCCTTCAGGTCGGGAACTGAACTCATTCTCATGGCTACCACCCAAACAAGAGATAGGCATATAGGGTAAACATTTACCTCCTTAGAACAGTCTATCATGGGAGAACAGAAAGCAGTATTTGCATAGGGAGATAGCTCAGGGGGCAGGAATGCATAGGAAAGAAGGACACAGGGAAGACATAACTACAGGGAGGAAGTGGGAAGAGAGCTGTTACATTATAAGCAATTGTAGTAATGTCATGAAACAATGTGTATGATCTGCTGTATAGAAAATGAATATTCTCTATAAATTTTCACCCAAATAACAATGAAAATTAAAAAAAAAAACAAACCCACACACAACAGACTTGCTTAAATCTCTATAGACTATCTTTAGAAGGCTACATAAGCAAGGAATTGGATGGCTAGGGGACAGAATTGGGAGGGAGACTTTTCACCACATTCCCTTTGATGTATTTTTAATTTTGAACTATATGAATGTATGACCTATTGTAAAGGTAAAAAGAAAAAACAAAAGGACTGATCTGAGAATATAATCTGCAAGCAATCCCAAAAGCCATAGGGAGCCATCCCTGCTAAAAACATCCAATGATAGAGCACTGGGCAAAAACAGACCAGATGGAAACTGTGTAGCTGTTAATAGTTTTTCCTAAACCCCAATTCCTTGATTCATTCCCCAGAAAAGGCCCAGGTGGCAATTGAGAATAAAAGGCCAGGCCCTGCCTTCAGAGCAATCTAGCCTCAAACACTCCTATCCTGCTGTCTTTGGCTATTTGTTCATCTTGGCGTTAGAATTAAGTGCGTGGAAGACATTTCCTCAGGCTCCCTGAGGAATTACTTGTTTAGAACTCCCAAGGGCTCAGGAGAAACATCTGGGCTAAAGGCAGACAGGAAGACCACACCAATGCCAGGATTCAGAGTGCAGGAGAAGGCACACATAAGCAACACAGGAATGTGGGAAGCAAAAATATGGATGTGGCTTTCACAAGTCCCTGAACTGCAAAGTTCAGTACTACTGCCAGGAAAAAAAATAAAAATAACCTAGTAATTGAACTTTTACTTTCAAACTTCAGTCTTTCCCTATTTCCTCATCTTTTCCTAAGCTCTGGGCATAAAGCTGTTTATCTCTGCCAGGATTTACCCTTCCCAATCTCATAGGCAGGAAGGTCAACCTACAAAGGTCTACTGAGACAAGCCTAGAGCTTCCTGAATGGTTCACAGTTCCCAGCTCCAAGAAAGGAGCCAAGGAGTTAAAGGATCACTTACGATTTCTGCAGTTCCAGTAACCGACGGCGCCGCTCACTCTGCTCTAAGGAACTGTACTTGGATTTGTACTGTGACAGGCGGGGATGTGGGGCTGCTGTGCTATTCAAATCTTGGGTCACAGAAAAGCTACTAGCCAGGGCTTGACTCAGCTCTTCCATCTTTCCTACGAAGGAAAACAAAACAAAAAAATGGTTGAATCAGTTCAGATCATCTCCTGTGTACAGGCAGTTATGATGTAACATGATGGCTACATTTCTAAGAAACACCACTTAATCAAGTCACAATTATTTCCATGGAAAAAGAGGAAGTTAAGGGGTAAATGAGCTACAAATGAACATTTACAGTATTTTATATACTGTAGATATTTCAATAATGATCATTTGATAGCTCTAAGTGTATAAATATAACATCAATCACTTAGCAACCCCACCCCATGACTGAATCTAATTTTTGCTATTTCTCACCCCTCACTCTGAATCCTGTCCTTAGTCCCTTCTTACCACCAGTGACATCCAGCAATGTGATCCTGAGTAATCCTAAGTAGTCACTAATCAATAACTAATAACTTACTGATACAAATTTTATCCAATTGGTTGTTTACTTCCCTAGTAAATGTCAACTCACCTGGCAGGGGATGTTTCAGGGCCACCTGTGTGGGACTCTTGTGTTAATAGGGGAAAAAAGACCCCAGATTCAAACATGTTCTACCAAATCCCTTTTATTAATTCTTACACAGGACAAAGGCAAAACAAAGACAATAATGCAGGATGAGGGAAACCATCAGCATACGCACAGTACAGAAAGCCAAACGGGAGTCTGTTGAGTCATGGCCATGCTGTTGTTATGTGCTGTTGCGTCATCTCCGACTCACAGTGACCCCCCTTGGGTTTCCGAGGCAGTATCACTATGGAAGTAGATTGCCCATTTTTCCTTCTGTGGAGTGGCTGCTGGGTTTGAACCACCAACCTTCTGGTTAGCAGTCAAGTACCTTAGGCACTACGCCACCAGAGCTCCCAATCATGCCCATAGGGCTAATTATATATGATTGAAAACAATGGAAATCATAAAATCATGATTAGTGGCAGATGATTCATCACTATCGCAAGTGGGAACTACAGACCTAGGCAAAGGACCATGACTGAGCTATGTACATAACTGAAAATTCAAAAGGGTTAAAGGTGGTTCTGGGGCTTGACTACCTGGCTAGGTGGTGGTCTGGATATGACTCATGACTATGTGGCCTGAGGCACAGCCACAAAGTGGCTACAAGACAATACCAGGACCCTAAACTTAATTTAGGAGTCCTGGTGGCATAGGGGTCACTATGAGTCAGATCCAACTCCACAGGCAGTGAGTTTGTTTTGAGGAGCTCTGGTAGTGTAGTGCCTGAGGCATTTGACTGCTAACCAGAAGGCTGAGGGTTCAAACCCATCAGCCACTCCTCGGAAGGAAGGTTGGGCAATCGACTTCTGTAGCGATACTGCCTGGAAACCCAAGGAGGGGTTGCTATGAAGGCACATAACAACAATCTACTCTCAACCACACTCTTCCTGAAGGCACACTGCCCCTCCCTAGGATTGTCCTAGAACTTGTCTATGCATAGCCACAATGTTGGTTTAAAGGTCAAAAAGAACTCAAATGGTGTCTGATCTTACACCAAGATTCAAAATGCAGTCCCACTGTGGAATGCAGCCTTCCACAATCCAAGTGCCTCAGAATTTAAGCTCTAATACACTTGGAAAAAAGCCAGAATGTGGAAGGCTGCCTAAAAGCTAACATCAACTGATCCAGAAGTATTAAGAACTTATATGTGGTACATTTGGGAGATAGGGAGTAGATGTCATACTGGAAACAGACTACCCAGGTAGGCCTGGGTAGTGAATGGGAGTAGTGCTAAAGGTGAATCCACACTTCATTCACATTCCTTGAATGAAAGTGAGGTGGCAGAGGAGCTATCTCAAGGGTTAAAGGTGTGCCTCAGGCAGTAAGAAAAATGGGAACATTTGGAAGAAATCTGACTCACTCTCAGCTTCACTATAAACCAGAACCACCGCCAGTGCTTAAACTCCATCTCAGGCCATGTCCCAATGCTCTGAGAACTGAAATCAACAGGTTTATTCCAGTCCCTCCATAGTTAAAAATACAACTTCATAGGCCTCTACTTGGCCAGTGAGTTACTTTCCATTGCACACTTGAAGTCAGATTTATTTTTTTCTTAATTTCCAGCATAAGTGTTTTTTTAAATATGAAAGGAATTTTCTAATTGGTATGATTAACATATTGTCCCATTATTCTTGTGAATTGGAGGCATGAATTGTTATACGTAAATTGTTATACAACTGGCCAGTGATGAGTACTCACTTGTGGTCCATTAGAAAACTTTCATAATAAAAAAAAATCTTTAATCCAGTATGCTTTAGGTACCAAAGTAGTGACTATATCCAAAGTACATTTCTCAGGCCTTATCATCCATCTGGGTGTGGACTCCCTCTCTGCTAAAAATCACAAAATGCTGAAAATTGATGCCTTGGATACAGGGAGTGGTTCCCTGTATCTTCCTTTACGGATGTTACAGGCTAACTCCTACTCTTTCAACATAATCCTTTGAGAGTGCTGTCCCCATTCTGGCCTTGGCACTAGTTAGGCCTATCCTCCACACCTGGAGGTTTATCCTCCACCTGTAGTCACTCCTCCAACTCCCAAATATCCGACCTGCCCAGGCCCTCCCCCGTGCACCAGATCCTCGCAGGTTCCTTGACTCCTCTTCCTCCTCTGGCACCCTCCCCTCCAACTCCCCAGCTCCGGCTCGAGGCGTTCTCGATTCCTTCCTCCCCATCACCCACCAAGCTCCAGCCCCGGGGGCTACCTGCTCTACTCGGTCTTCCTCCCCGCCAAGCCCCTGAACTGCCTTTCTCTATGGAAGTTATCTGGACCTTGCATAATTCGTATTCTCCGCCCCTATCCCTCCACCAAAATTCCCAGAGAGGTCCTGGCCCGGCAGCCAGGAACAGAAAAGCATACGAGCGCCCAAAAAAAGGCTCTAGCCTGGTTCTGCCCCTCCAGGTGCCCACCTGGGAGGGCAGACTTGTGGATACGGCCAGAAGCAATCGCCACAGGGAACCCCAGGAGCTAGAGGAGCGGCCCTCGAACCCGAGACTCACCAGTCCAAGGACACAGGTCTACGCGCCGCCGCCGCCGGGGGCCGACCAATCAACTGCTCTGGGAGATCTAGGTCCGCCTCCTTGGCTAGACCACGCCACCAGGTCCACCAGCCTCGCGCCCGGAGTTTCTGGCTCCTCCCGTCGTTACAGACACCAGGCGTCCTCCCGCGCTTTGACCTCCCACCGGCCGGCCGTTACTTCCGCCTTCAACGGGCGGGACTAATCCGTTTGGCCTGGCGGGGGAGCTCCTTCTGCTCCTATGTTGCATTGTCTCGGACACCTCCTGCAAGGTGACTTGGCCTGGCAGAGGTCAAGAGCCCCTCAGGTACAAGATCCCCTCTGATTCCTTTCGCCTATAGGAGAACACCTCCCCCCCCCCATTCGCGGCTGGGCGTTCAAAGCCCGTCAGGCCCTGGGCCCTACCGCGTCCCCCGGACCTGCCCACTCCTTGTTGTTGTTGTTGTTGTTGTGTGCCGTCGAGTCGGCCCCGACTCATAGCGACCCCTCCTTGGGTTTCCGAGGCAGTATCACTACGGAAGTAGGATTGCCCAACCTTTTAGGGATGGCATTATCAACAGCCCGCTCCCTCTCCTATGCCCCTGCTTTATGCCAGGGTAGTGCCAGTTGCCTTAATGACTTCCCCCACTCCTCACACCCCCAGGTCTCTCACATGTTCAGTCCTCCTTTGCTGTTCAACACCAGAAACATAGCTCGGGTACACCCCGTTTTTTCGCTTTGGGAGTTTCTCGTAAGTGTAAATCTGTGGGATTGGCAATGGCAGGGACCAGTCTTGATTCCTGCTGAAGTAGTCAGCATTCGGAATGAATTGATGCAAGGGGTGGGGAAAGGTTGCAGAGATTTAGGAGACCTAATCAAACGGGGTGCAGCCTCTAAGGCACAGGATTGATGAGACGCAAAATAAAAACATTAATAGCCATTTAGTGAATGCCAGACACTCCTTCATATGCATTATCTCATTTAATCTTCAAATAATACAAAGAAGCAAGAAAACTTAAGCTCAGAGAAGTAACTTGGCCAAAGTCACATAGCATTTGAGACATGTTTAAATTTGCTAAATGTTTGACTTACAGAAAAGTTGGATATTTCTTTATTACAGAAACAAATATCCAAACTTCTCACATTTTTAGTCCAAGAAATGTGAAAATGTGGGCTTGTATATTTTATATACGTCACGCTATCCATTTAGTCTAAAAACAAGAAGGAATTAAACTGATGACGATAAAAAGTCCTGGCAGACCAAATTTTTTTGGACTTCATAATTTATTTAAGTGGGCTCTATTTTCCAATAGTCAGGCAGAGCCAAGCTGTGCACTATTATTTCATGTGTCCACAAATAAAAGCTCATGTTTGCTTGATTTATGAAGACTAACAACAACAACAATGAAAAGCCCAGGAACTGACTTCATTCTGGAAACTTTGACACCAGGAAATTAGGTAATTGATGTTCCAAAACCACTACACCCTACCCACCACCATGGAGGTTACATCTAATGGTCAGAACCACACGGAAAAGAACAAAGGCCCTAAATGTTGGATTGAGAAAGAAATCCCCAAAGTCATGCACAGATGTTCCAGTCTCTCACCCATACCTAGCTGAATAACTTATCACACACACTCAAACTGTGGTTCCCCAACTATTCACCCTTAGCGTTCACCTTCTCAAAGTTGGCCACTTATGTATACACTTGTATTTAATGACTTTAAATCATCTCACTTTTTTAAAAAGTCAAATTTATTTAAAAGAGTATCATCATAGCATTACCTTAAATTGTCTCCCACTTTAAGAGATGATGTCTATAAAATAAATACAGTGAAAATAATGTTGGTATCTAACTAGAGACTGATGTCAGCAAAAAGCTCTGACACTGGGGACTTCTTTGTAAAAATCAGATTAGCAAGTGTTGGAGAAGTGATAAGGAGTAACATTGCAGTGTAGTAAATTACTTAGTATGGCTTTTCTACCCATAAGTCATTGTAAACTCAGTGGTGGAATGAGCAACTGAGGAGCTCCTGATTGTAAATGTTATCCACCTGCGTTATTTCTGTTGGGAGTGGCACAATACAATGTTCTGGGAGGTGCACACTCTCTCTCACATGCTTAAGAGTTTTGATGCTATGATTGGCTAGTTTGGCCACTCTGCCTGGCTCAAAAGGAGGCCTCCTAGAGGCAGAATTCTCTCTGACTGCTGGTTGAAGTAGACCACCTGCTGCTGAAAGAGACACCGGCTCCTGAGACAGGCATTGCTGGGAAAGAGACGCAAGAGACATGCATTGCTGAGTGAGACACCGAGGGACCAGCACTGCTGGGAAAGAGACTGTTGGCTGAGGGACAGTGGGCTGGGAGAGAGACTGAGCATTTTTTCCTGAACTTGAATTGCAGCCTGTGGTGCTTCCCTAATACACCCCATAATCTGTGAGCTCTGTGTGGCCACTGCAGCGAATTATCGAACCCAGGAGAGAGGTGGTGGGTGCTTTGGGAGGAATGGTTGGTGAAAGGGCTGGAGGGAGGCAGCATGTCTCACCTTGCAGTAATAGGCCTTGGGCTATTGATGGTGATTCTGCCTTCCTCTTGTGGGGTTCTAGGAGGTCGGAATATGTGGCCTTCTTGCCGTTTTTGCAAACACTAAACAAATTTTTTCTTTGATGTAATCAGAAAAATTCAAAGACAACAGAAAAGAGAAGATCCACTTTCACATTATGATTCAGTGTTATTTAAGATGTAATCTGTGCACACCCTAAAATTTTCTGGTAAGTGTGCATATGCTGAGAATCCTGACCTAGAAAAGGGGGAGGTTAAGGGCAACAGAGGGGGTACACTCTCTAGGAGGCCAGAGTATACTGTCAGTCAATTAACAAATGTGCCTACTATTTGTCAGGCACTGTGCCAAGCCCAGGAGATACAGAAATGACCAAGACTGACACGGTCCCTATCCTCCAGGATCTTACAGCCTAGTTATGGTAGGAAAAGACCAATAATACATAACATAGCCAGTATAGAGTAGTACCAAAGAGATCAAGTACCTGGGTAGTGAGTAAGTGCAGTGGGGCTGCTGAGTGAAGGTATCCAGGAAATTTCTCTCTGAAGAGATGATATCTGAGTCAAGACCTGAATGATGAGAAGGAGACATCCATGAGGACAGAAACACCAAGTATTTCTAGTAGAAAGCACAGTGGGTACAGAGAGGTGGGAGATAGGACCGTACTTCCTCTGTATGAAGGGTAGACCAAAGGCCAGGAGGAGAGCTAGGAATGGGGGAAGTGGAAGGAGATGAGGTCACAGAGGCAGATGGAACTCAACTAGGTAAGGCCTTATAGGTCATGTGGAGAGTTTAAATTATCCTCTACTGCAGATGAGGGTTTTAAATAAAGGAACGAGATAGCTGGGTTGGATAGTCCCTGCTTTGCAGAAACCTAAACCAGCAAACACCAACAAACAATAACTGAGCAGTTCCCACCCTGCAATTCATTATAGTCATCTATGGGACTCTTTCAGAATTCAGATGCCTATACCCTGCTCTGGGAGCTCTGGTAGCATAGTGGCTAAGACACTTGCCTGCTAACCAGATGGCTGGCGGTTCAAACCCACCAGCCACTCCTCGGAAGGAAG